CTGCCCCGAACCCTGGCGCCCTCCCTCCTGTCTCTGCCTCTCTGCTTCCTAACTTTGGTTTTCTTGATTGGCCCTGTACTGCCTCCCAGGCCTGCCCCAAGCCTGGCTCCTGGCCCCTGCACTGCCTCCCAGGCCTGCCCCAAGCCCAGCTCCAGTCAGGGAATCAACAGAGACCCAACTCATGGGGACCCCAGGGCTGGCTGGGGTGCGTGCAGATGGCACACTCCCCGAGGCCGTGGAGGTGTAAGCCCAGCCACACTAGCGACGCAGGTGCAGGTGGACACAGTGGGCACTGCTCAGAATCCTAGCCAGATGCTGGCACTGCCAGTGACTTGAGGGTTAGGGACGTATGGACTGCAGGTCTGTGTGCATCTGTCTGCTTTGGCACGGATGGGTCCCTAACAGGGCCAGGTGGGTGCAGCCACAGGCCACAGTGACCCACGGTTGGGCAGTGTGGTGCTGCCAACTGTCCTCCTCCAGGCCTGGTTTGTGGCTGTCTCGCTGAATCCTGGGAAGGCCTGGGGGCCCACTTTGCAGATGAAGAAACTGAGGTACTGAGGGAGCAAAGGACCTGTCGCTATGTCGGCTCCAACAGGGGAGGGGCCGGGACTGGCGCTTTCTGTTTGTTTCTCCTTGTCTGTGTCTAAGGCTTGCTCTTCCTGGGTGCTTTTAATCTAGAAAATATCAACAAGTTCTCTGGTCCTGACTGGGGTGTGCACAGGGTCAGGTGCACGGGGCTCACTGGGCTCCCTGCATCCCCTCCGGCTTCCTCCTTGGTGGTGACTGTCCCTGACAGATAGACCAGGGACAGACATGCCCCCAGCTCCCTCCTCAGGGCTGCTGGTGGTGGAAGGGGTGTGCTGGGCTGAATGGTGTCCCCCAAACCATTCCCATTCCCCAGAGCCTCAGGAGCGGGCCTCACTTGGAAGCAGGGTCTTTGCCGATGTAGTGAGTTAAGACGAGTTTGTGCTGCGTCTGGGTGGGCCCTAAGTCCAGTGGCTGCTGTCCTTGCAGGAGAGGAGAGGGTGCAGTAGCACACAGGAGAAAGTGGAAGCAATGGGGCCACGGCCACGGAGGGCCTGGGGCCACCGAAGCTGGACAAGACCAGGAAGGGTCCATGCCAGGTGGTCAGCAGGGAAGCTGCCTGCCCACACCGTTAAGGCTTTGGCTTCCAGAAAGGTGAGTGAGCGAGCGTTGTTTAATGCCTACTGTGTGTGGCCATCTGCTGGGGGAGGCTCAGGACACGCGCAGAGGTGTCCAGGACTCTGGACAGGGCAGGGTCTGTGGGCTGCAGGGGTGCCCCAGGGGGTGGGGATACTCAGCTCTGGTGACTGGTGCTGCTGAGGTCCTGCCTCCCACAGCGGCCCCCGGCCTTGCCAAGGACTTGGGTCCTCCACTCTGTCGTCTCTACCCCCAGCTGCCCCGCCCCTCTGCCCCCAGCCCAGGCCTCTGGAGACCAAGACTTCCCTGTGGCTGACCAAGGGACAGCAAGGGCCACACAGGGCAGCAGAAAACCACAGCCAAGTGCAATTTCATGGACAGGACCTCATGTCCCCAAGACCAGCCTCGTCTGACTCAGACTCTGCGGCTCTGCCCAACTTCTTCAAAGGGAATCTGACTGCTTGGGGCCTGGCTGGGGCACCGAGCCCTGTGCTACGAACAGAGGGATTTGGGATTAAATTCCCATGCCATTTCACAGGACACAGGTGCCTGTGGGAGCCCAGCTGGCCGTCAGAGGCCACAGGTGCTGGCGCCGACAGCAGAGGCTGGCTTCTGCTCACTCTGCCCTCCCCTGTGATCCCTGCCTGCCCTGTCCAGCTGTCCCCCTTGGGGGTCAGGCTCGCGACCAAGCGGTGGGCACCTCTGATTGCCCAGGGCCTGCTGGGCAGTGAGTGGTGCACGGGTGTTTTTTGGAACACTTGCTCATCCACACGAAGGCAGATTTCATCAGTAAGGCAGCACCCAGGCAAAGCAGGTGAACGGGTGACCGTGGCCATGGAGAGGGAGCGGCAGGGGCAGGTGCACACGTGTATGCCATCCCCACACAGCCGTGGGCAGATCCCACGACAATACCATTGGGCAGGCCCCCAGGGCAGAGTGAGCCTCAGAGGGCACCCAACGATGTCTCTAGCGGCAGCTTGGAGGCGGTGCTGGGTGAGCATGTGTGTGTGTGAGAGAACACATGTGTGTGTGTGCCTGTGTGTGCACAGGGAAGCGTGGCAGCCGTGTCTGGCTTGCATCTCTCTGCAGCTCACTGTGTCAGGTGGCTGAAGCTTTGAGCACTGAGCTGCTGGTGCAGTCAGAGGACCAGGACCTTGGCTCTCCCAGTGTGGGGCAGGGGAAGGACCCAACATGAGCCTGGAAGGTCGGGTAAGCCGGCCTAGCCCCAGCTCTGCCACTCACGGTGTACCCCACCCGTATGAGCCTGTGCCCCTGCAGAACAGCTGTACCCATAGGGCTGGGGCTGGGGTTCCAACAGCCAGTCACCCAGAAAGTGCTGATGTGCTGGGTCGGCCGCAGCGGGCACAGAGTGGACGAGCCGGAGGAGGCAGAGCCTGGAGTAGAACTGGAAGGGGAGGAGGAGGCGATGGGGGCGGAAGGCAGGTGTCCTGGGGGAGGCCCAGGATCGAGGCCGACGGGGCTGGCAGTAGCCTGGGCGGGGCCGTGGAGTCACCTCGTGGCTGGTGCAAGGTCCCCTGGGAGCTGGGACTTCTCAGCTTCATCCCAACAGGGAGAAGTGAGGCTCAGTGACCACGGGTGGTTTTTGCCAATGCCGCAGTGCTAGGAAGTGGTGGCCCCAATGCCAGCAGAGTGATCTGGCTCCAGGGCTGGAGCGGGGAAAAGCAAGCAGCAGATGCAACCGTGGGTCTCCGGGGCCCACCCCTCGCACCCCCACGGGGCCACCTGAGGGACAGCAGCCAGCCCATGGAAGAGGAACGGCCAGAGTTCAGATGCCCGCTCAGAGGCGCTGCGTTTTGTGCAAGCTCTGCGCCGGTAGCCCACGCGCGGGCAGAGGACGCGCTTCTCTCCCTGACCGCAGCCAGCCGGCACTGAAAGCCGCTGTTTTCAGCCTTTCTCGGTCCTGCAGGGGCCTCCGGGCCTTTGTTCTGGGAACAAGAATGCCGGTGCTGGGCACAGGCCAGAGGCCAGGCCACGCCGAGGACTTCGGAGGAGGGCCGCTCCCCGCACGCCAACGCAGCTGGCTCGGCAAGGCGGCGGCAGCACCGTGTGGGGTCTCAGGGCTCAGGCTGCCACAGGGGGTGCTAACTGGAGCATCCCAAGGCCCAGGGCTGGGCAGCGCGGGCTATGCCCTCCTGTTCCAGGCTCCCACAGCAGCGCCTCCACGCTGGCCGGATCTGGGCCGGTGTCGGCCATGGGGGTGTCGTGGGGAGCATGGTATGTCAGGGGGTGGGGACAGAGGCTGGGCCGGAGGCCTGTGGGGAAGGCTCTGCACTCCCCACTGTGGGCGGCAGGAGGAAGGCTTCCTGGTTCTCAGATGTTTCTCAGTCAGGTGACCGTGGCTGGAGTGTGGCGCTGGCCTTAGGTTCCTGTCCACCTGGAGCTGCTTCCATTACACAGGCCCCGGTGAGAGCCCAGCAGGTGCATTTCAGGTGTGGCTTTCTAGGTTCCCAGGGCCAATCTTTGTTCTCCCCCTTCCCTGGGCGCTCCCTGACACTCACGTCTTTTGTCTACAGCTCAGTGTGCACCTGCCCTTCGTGGAAGGGGCCTTCTTTTGGGCAATGCCAGACCAGGCCAACGGTTCGGCTGTAACCAACTGCAGAAGGCAAGCTGGCATTCCAGGGGAAGCCGTGTTCTCCGGGCTGACCAGCCCAGGTGCCCCGACACAGGGGCCTTTGTGTTCCCAGAGAAGCGGAACAAAACCAGAAACAAAGACCCAAACGCCCCCCACCACGTGACTGGGGCTGAGGATCTGCCTGGTGGGTGGTCGGCTGGCGCTCAGGCAGGCGCCCCGGCTGGGTGAGCGAGCTCCGGTCCTGGTCTATGCTTGTCATTTTCCAGTGAGAGAGCAAGGTCCCAAGCACGCTGCTGAGTAGGCTGCTTGGCAGGTAAGAGAAACACCCACGGAGGTGCTCAAGACGGGGAAAGACACACACGAGGCACGGGACCTCCAGCTCTGAGTGGCTCCTGCACTCGCTCGGCTTCCACGCGTGCTGTGCTGGGTCTGCCGAGATGGGAACACACGCTGGCGTCCGGGGGACCCTCCTGGAGGAGTGGGACTCCCCTAGGACTGGGAAACCAGCGGGGCCTCTGCTCACCGCAGTGTTGCAAGGTTATTCCCAATAAGCGGCGGTCCGTGCACTTTGGACATCTGAGAATGAAAGAATTATTTGCCAAAAACACACAAGGGTTTGTTTCGCTCTTTATCGCTCATTTATTGACAGATCATGGGAAAAGCCCTCTCAGAAAAAAAAATACAAGATTTACTTAAGAACCGAAGGTTTTTCCCCCCACAGCCAGTAGGGTAGCTGTCTTTATGGGAGTTGTAGATTAAACACCACCAAGGCCGTTCAGCCGTTACCTATTAGTTAAATGTTGCCATTTCACACAGAAACAAAAACAGACATCTCTTTGGTTAAAAAAGTCACTTTTCCTGTGCAATTATTTTTTTAGATCTCAGATAGAAGAGGATTCTAATTTTATCTGTGTTCAATAAGCAGATGAAAGCATCGTGAGGTGGGAGCTGTTTACTTTTTTCCGATTCTCCGAGCAGCAGAAGGGAAGAGGAATCGACTGCTGTGCACTGTTTTCTCAGCAGGTCCCTTGCACCCATCTGTAAAGAAATTAATTGCTTCGACGTGTCGGCTTAACACGAAATTATCTTATTTTCACTCTGTTTTCTTCTTTGGGCTATCTGAGAGGCAAAGAGAAAGGACAGGCTGCGGGGCAAAGCCGGGTCGGTCCTCACTGTCTGTTTTCCTCTCCAGCTTTCTCCGCTTCCAGCTTTTGCTTTTTAATTATTTTCCCCCTTTTTTTGGGGGGGTGGGATGGGGTGTTGAACAATGTACACTTAAAATCGCACAGGTGTGGAGTTTTCGGAGGTCAGGCTCTCAGACGCACAGTGCATTTCTAGGACAAAGTCCACCACGAGAAGCGCGGTCCGCGTGTCCTGCGCCTTCCACTCTCGGGGTCTGACCTGTTAGAAGCAAGAATAGCTGAGGAGCGCACACAGCCGTCGCGCCAGGCCTCCACGCAAGCACCTCCTGGGGGCAGACTGCCTTTCACGCCAGCGAAGCGCCCCTCGGGGCCTCGGCCTCGGCCGTCGGCGTCCTCGGGTCTGGGGCCGCTGATGACCGCTCCTTCAAGGCGAGCCCCTGTCCTCCCGCGGCGCTGTGCCGCGCATTTTTCCATGGGGGCTGTGCCGAGAGCCCCAGCCGGCTCACCTGCTCCCGCCAGGCCGCCAGTCCCACAGCCGCGGCCGCGGGAACGCAGGGCCCCGGGGAGCGCCCAGTGCTCGGGTCTCCGCCCGGCTCCCGCTTGGCTTTTATTTGCCTCCCCTAACCTAACTACTTCCAGATTTGCAGTTTGCTGGGACACGCTTTCCGTCCCCGGGGACGCTCGAGCACTTACAGTCGCGTCAGCGCCCCTGGGCTTTGGGGGGCTGTCCACGAGCGCCGGCCGGTCGCGGGGTTCCTTCCCGGAGCCCTCCCTCTGGAGCGCACGGCCGCTGCCCTGGCACCAGCCTGGCCTTCCCTGCGCCGGGGGTACAGCCCCCTACCAGGCCAGGCAGGCTTGGTAGGGGTCGCCAAGGTCTCTGGGCCCAGGGCAGGAGCCGCAGGCGACACTGGCTCCCAGGCTCCAGGCGACTGGGGGGCCGGGACATAGAGCCCTGCGGGCCGGCAGGCAGGACCACCCACGTAGCGTCCGACCTGGGAACCTACACGCCTCCAGGCCTCCCAGGGTGCAGTGGTGTCAGGGGCTCAGTCTGGTCGCACAGCCCCCGGGGGCTCCGCCACCCCCTGGAGTGACTGTCCCAGGTGGGGAGCCCTCCCCCCCCAGAGCCCGAAGCCCCCAGGCCTGATGCAGCGGCTGGGCCCTGCGGGCGCCAGGCTCCAGAGGGGGAGGTTCCTGAGGGCTCAGGGCGCCTTTCCAAAGGCCAGAAAATGGAGACCGTGCGAAAATTATCCCCAAATCCGGCCGGGCCCAAAGCCCACCGGCTTACATAAAGCCTCGGGAGCCCGCCCGCCCGCCCGCCGCGGCCTCCGCGGCCGGGGTGGACAATCTGCGGGCTACCAGCCAGGCCGTCCTTGGGGCTGGCACGGCCACCCACCCCCTGACCACAGGCCTGAAGTGACCCTGGGGAGGGGGCAGGGGTCCTGGCCTCTTCCCACCGTGTGCTCCGAGAAACGTTTAACTGGCCTTTAATCACATTAGCAGCCGGCCCCAATTAGGGCCGCTGGAGGGGGGAGGCGGGAGGAAACCGCCGGCCGTGTCACTGGGGGATAAAGACCCTTTCATGCCCTCGGCCTGGCCGTGGGCTACCGGGCGGTGGCGGCGGCAGCCACCCGGGCCTCGGATGCCCAGCATCCCTCCGACGCCGCCTGATCCAGGCGCTGGCCCTCGGCACCGCACAGTGCGCCCTCGCCTCAAGGTGCCCGGCGGGCGCGTGGGCCCGGAGCCGGACGCGGGCCTGGAGGGGCGGAGGCTGGACCCGCAGGCCCGCGCCCGCGCACCGGGAGACTGTGGGCAGCCCTCGAGTTGGGCGGCCGGGGGCTCGCCGAGGGCCCCGCCAGCCGACTGGGAGCGCCGGGCCAGGACCTTGGTAAGGCGGCTGCCTGCCCGGTGGTTCGGAGGGAGGGTGGCTCTCCGCCGAGGGCGGCTGGGGCAGTCTCCCGCGAGGGACCAGGCAGCCTGGGTCGGGGGTCGGTCCCACCCTCCCCGGCCTGGGCCCACTCCTGGGCCGGGGGCAGCTGAGGGCGGCTTCCCGGCGCTTCAGGCTCCCGCGCGTGGCTCCGGGGCGAGTCGGGAACGCGGGGCGGACCCAGCGCGGCGTAGCCCCGGCCGTGCGCGCTGTCGAGGGGTGACCTGGGGCGCCCCAGCGGCTGCGGCGGCGCTGCCCCGCGGTGCTTACCTCGCTAGGCCAGCCGGGTCGGGGCCGGGCGCGCTCTGGGCCCGCCGGGGTCGAGCGAGGACAGCGGCCTCCCGGGACCCCCGCCCCAAGGCGGCAGCTGCAGCCCGGAGCGCGTGACCTGGGGCCCCGACCGCCCCGCGCTCGGCCATTTGTTCGCGCACAAAGGAGACCACGCATCTTTTTCTTTCCCCGGGCGCAGGCTTCCCACCGTCTCCCCTCCCCCCTCCCGCACCCCACGCTTTGCTGGGAACGGCTATTCTGCGCGCACCCACTTTGTCCCGCCCTTGTCTACCGTTGAATTCCATGGCTGTAGCGGAGGACGTCAGTGTCGTTCACAGAGCTTCTTAGAAAGTCAGAAAGCAATGAGAGGGGCCCTTTGAGTGGAGCCTCGGGATCTTGTAAAGGGGCAGCGGGGGGACCAAGCCCAATCCCATTAACCCGCCAGACTCCCACAGTCTTCAAAGGCGGCAGACGTAGCTGGCTCCCGGCGAGCCCGGGGGGCAGCAGCGGGGCCCCGACCCCCCCCTTCCTTTCTCATCGGAATTTCCATTGGCAAAATGGCTTTTACAGGCCCTGAGCGGCAATTCATGTCTGACAAGTGCTGTGCAAACTCCAAGAGCTTCGACTCAGAACCGCATCCTGAGTGTGTATTTCAATGTTTTTGTTTTAAATTCCAGCCGGTTTCTCGAATTGGGAGCTTGAGTTCTAAACAAACTTTTCACCCCTCTTTCTGTCTCCCGGCTTTAAGGTAGATGTGCCAACGTTTGGAAAATGGGTCACGGGGATTACGCTCTGCCGGGAAGAGGACCACATATGACCGAAGTTTCAGCTTAATTGAGTTTTAGTGCCAAGTCATATCTTGCTGAGTAACCGGACCTGGGCGCACGGGGGATGGAGGAGAGGCCGGCCAGGGGAGGGCAGCTGTCCTGAGCCGGGCCTTGTGGTCTGCACCGCAGCCTAATTCCAAAGAGGTGAGGTTATCAGGCTGGCGCCTTTTGTGTGGGGAAGCCGGGGACTGGCCGGTTGGGTTGGTGGCTTTAGGTTAATAATCCGGCCTATTATTTAGGAGAGCAGGCTGTTCTGCACAGCCCGGCCTTGCCTTTGCGGCCTCGGAGAACAGCTTCTGTTCACGCCTGCACAAATGAGTCTCCTCCTTCGGAACTCAGTACCTCCAGAAAGCAGGGGTTTCGAAGAAATAAGTATTTGGGGAAAAAATGACAAAACACAGGCACTCGGTCGTAGTGCGGAGCACCAGGTGTAGAGCAAGGAGGATTTTGCTGGTGGTGCGTGTCCCAGATGTGCCTTTTGTTAAACACAAGTTTGTGCGACAGTTTCTGCATGAGTGTGTGGAAAGGACGCCACACGTCAGGCTCACGCTTAGGGAATTAGAATCCAGACGCTAATGCAGCGCGCGCTGGTTGTAGGGAACGTGGGTGGTTTCTACCAAGGGCTCATTTAAAATGGACGAATTAAAATTGAATACGTAATTCCAGTCCACTCTGTGTTACTCATCAGTTGTTTTGAAAACTTTTCTCCACTGTGCCCCCTCTTCCCTTGCTGCACTCCCGGGCCTGCGGCTACCAGGGTGTCCTGCTCTGCGTCCACTGGGTGCTGTCTCCGCCCTCCCATGCCTTCCTGCGTCTCCTCCACTCGGATGCGAGGCCTGCTAGAGCCCAGCAGAGAAGGGCAGCAGCCTGCACGACTCCCAGGTCCAAGTGCACGGCCACGTCCGCCTGCAGAGCCCAGACGCTGGCCGCGCTGGCTTCCTAGCTGCCTCCCCCACAAGCTGTCTCTTCCCTGGACTTGTCCCACCTCCCTTCTCCACCTGACGCTCCTGGCAACCTCTGCCCACCTGCCCAGATTGCATCTCACCCCCGGCTGCTGCCTCATGGCCACTCAGCCCCACGCCAACCTGCCACCTGTAGCCGCCCAAGGCCTCGGGGTCCCTTCTGTGTTTCACTGCACGGTGCTTCCTTCTTGGCCTGCAGTGCGGCTTTGGTGCTGTTGCTGGGGGAGGAGAGGAGAGCGGGACCTTCCAGTGAGCAGGTGTCACTTTGCAAACCTCCTGGGGCTGGGGCAGCGCCCAGTCTGCAGAAAGCAGGCCGTGGGCCCACCAGTCAGGAAAGAGAGGCGCGGCGAGGACTTGGGCCCGAGCAGCACAGAGCCGCCTCTCCACCGCTCCCAGCGGACTTGCCCCTGGCCTCTTTCAAACAACATAAAGCCCTTTAAATTAAACAGAATCTCAATTGGCTTAAAAAACAGCATGACGCAGTTGGACTGCAAAAACGAAAGGAAATCTAGAAGTCCAAAATCAGCCTGCTTTGCATTTCAGCAGGCAATCCTGACAGAGTCGTGACGTCCTGGTGGAGGCGGCCCGTCCGCTGGCTCTGGCATGTGGGACCCTCTTCTCGGAAGTCGCCCTGCACCAGGCGGGCCCTGGGTAGCTCTGAGAAAGGGTGCCCCATGGGTGACATGCCCGTGTCCCCGACAGGTGTATAGGCATCTTCCCCGGGGTCGTGGCTCTCCCTGAGCCCCGATGACAGTTCCTCTGGAACGCAGGACAGATTCCGCTCTTGTCAGTGAGTGCACAGCCCATGTCTTGGGACACAGGGGACGCGGACACGGCTACTTTGCAGACTCCCGGGGGGGGGGAACAAAGACGTTGGCGGTTGCTGTGGCACGGAGGCAGTGGAAAGTGGTGAGCAGCTGCCGGGAGAAAACGTGGCGTTTGGAGTTCCCTTTAGCTGAGAACCTGTTAACAGCGCCCGCGAGCAAGGTGCCATTTCCTGCCACTTAACCAAATTAACCGCACGCTGCGAATCGGCCTTGGGAGCAGGAGCCTGGCTCTCTCGTGGGCTGGAAATCCCTGAGCGTCTTCATCTGACTTGAGACATTCCGGTCCCTGTGCAGTACGAAATCTGTTTGTCCTTGCGAGTGACAGCGACACAAAGTGGGGGGGGCTAGGTAGACGAAACAGAGCCCCGGGCTGGAGTGTGTCATGTGCTGGCGTGAGTATCCAGTTGTCTGGAGAACCTAAAAAGCCTCCTGTCTTCACCCTGAGGGTAAGTTTTAAGACATGGACGGAGCCGGTGCCGTGGCTCAATAGGCTAATCTTCCACCTTGCGGCGCCGGCACACCGGGTTCTAGTCCCGGTTGGGGCGCCGGATTCTGTCCCGGTTGCCCCTCTTCCAGGCCAGCTCTCTGCTATGGCCAGGGAGTGCAGTGGAGGATGGCCCAGGTGCTTGGGCCCTGCACCCCATGGGAGACCAGGAAAAGCACCTGGATCCTGGCTCCTGCCATCGGATCAGCGCGGTGCGCCGGCTGCAGCGGCGGCCATTGGAGGGTGAACCAACGGCAAAGGAAGACCTTTCTCTCTCTGTCTCTCTCACTGTCCACTCTGCCTGTCAAAAATTAAAAAAAAAAAAAAAAAAGACATGGACGGTAGGCCAGCGCTGCGGCTCACCTAGCTAATCCTCCGCCTGCGGCACCGGCACACCGGGTTCTAGTCCCGGTCGGTTCGCCGATTCTGTCCCGGTTGCCCCTCTTCCAGGCCAGCTCTCTGCTGTGGCCCGGGAGTGCAGTGGAGGATGGCCCAAGTGCTTGGGCCCTGCACCCCATGGGAGACCAGGAGAAGCACCTGACTCCTGGCTTCAGATCAGCGTGGTGCGCTGGCCCCAGTGGCCATTGGAAGGTGAACCAACGGCAAAGGAAGACCTTTCTCTCTGTCTCTCTCTCTCACTGTCACTCTGCCTGTCAAAAAAAAAAAGACATGGACGGTCCAGCTAAGCCTTCCCCACGGTGAAATCTTTGACCTCATTGTCCCCCCCCCCAAAGCCGGGCACCTTAACCGAGTGAAACCGATTCGGAGATTATTTTGATAAATGATTTGGTTCCAACTCAGTGGTTCAGGAGAATTCGTAGGTTCGTGTTCATTTTAAGTTGGTTCACCAGGCATCCTTGGGGGCGGGGGGAGAGGACCAAAGCCGTATGGATACCACCAGAAATCTGTAATCCCGCACCGGGTGCGTGCTGGGGTCTGGGCCAGCCTCGGGGGACTGCCGAGGGGTTGCGGGGCTTGGGAGCAGCCTGGGGCACGGCCAGGCTCCAGCTCCAGCTCCCGGTGTCAGCCCCTCCGTCCTCGTCTGTCCAGGCTGCGCGTGATGGGCCCTGGACGCCAGGCCCTGTCCTGGGTCAGCCCTGGGTGGCACAGCGGGCAGCTCCCCTGGGGCTCCACTCACAACGGGGGTTTCCTCCTGTGAGAGCTTTGGACCTCGTGACCTCTGGGACCCCCCCGTCCTCTCAGCCCTCTCCTCGCAGGCGGGGACGCTCATGCCACGCAGACACGGCCCCTACCCTCACGTGTGTGTATGTGTGTACATATGTGTATGTGTAGATGTGTGTTCGTGCGTGTATATGTGTGTTTGTGTTTGTGTGCATTTATGTGTATGTGTGTATGCATGTGTGTATATTTGTATGTGCATGTGTGTAAGTATGTATTGGTGTGCATAAACATGCGTTTGTATGTATGTGTGTATATGAGTATGTATTTGTGTGTATGTATGTAGGTATTTGTGTGTATGTGTGTAAGTGTATGTGTGTAACTATGTGTATTGTGTATTTGTGTATGCATTTGTGTGTATTTGTATGTGTAAGTGTGTATGTGTAACTCTGTATGTGTATGTGTGTATGTGTAACTATGTATGTGTGTATGTGTAACTATGTATGTGTATGTGTGTAACTCTGTATGTGTATGTGTGTATGTGTAACTATGTATGTGTGTGTAACTATGCATGTGTATGTGCATATATGTAAGTGTATTTGTGTGCATAAGCATGTGCATGTATGTATGTATGTATTTGTGTATGTGTGCATGTGTGTAACTATGTGTATTGTGTATGCATTTGTGTGCATTTGTATGTGTGTGTATATGTGTAACTCTGTGTATGTGTGTATGTGTAACTCTGTATGTGTATGTGTAACTATGTATGTGTATGTGTATGTGTGTATGTGTAACTATGTATTTGTATGTGTGTATGTGTAACTATGTATTTGTGTGTATGTGTAACTATGTATTTGTATGTATGTGTAACTATGTATGTGTATGTGTGTGTGTATGTGTGTGTGTATGTGTGTGTGTGTATGTGTGTATGTGTAACTCTGTATGTGTATGTGTAACTATGTATTTGTATGTGTGTATGTGTAACTATGTATTTGTGTGTATGTGTAACTATGTATTTGTATGTATGTGTAACTATGTATGTGTATGTGTAACTATGTATGTGTATGTGTGTGTGTGTATGTGTGTGTGTATGTGTAACTATATATGTGCATGTGTGTGTATGTGGCCTGCTCCGAGCCAGGTACAGCGGAGGTGAGTGGGAAGCTTCTGCCCGTGAAACGCAACGAGACCTCTTTAGCGGACCACTCGCCACGCCCACCTTCCCAGGATGCACCGCTCACACCCGGGGCCAGGGCGCATGCTCAGACCACACCGTATTTGCATATCCGCTGGTACCGCCCCCTTCCTTATAAATAGAAGAGGCCGCAGGGGCGTTCCCCTTCCGCCCTGGACCGCGGAGCCCAGAGCACCTGCTGAGGCGGCCGGCCCTGGACCGCGGAGCCCGGAGCACCTGCTGAGGCGGCCGCGTGGCCGCGGGCCGCGGGGGGACGGAGCTCGCCTCTGTGCCCTTCTGCTCTGCAGGCAGCTCTCAGAGGGCGTGTTTGGCTTTTCCTCTCGCGGACGGGCAGTCCCTTGGCGCGTCCACGCGGGTGTCTGCCGCTGCGGCCTCGCAGGCCGGCGTGCGGATCGCGTTCCCTCCGGCCCACGGCGCGGCTCTGCCCCCGTGGGGTTGGAAAGCCGGCGTGTTCCCCGCCCGCATGGCCTGCCTGGGACCTGCAGAGCCCCACGGTGCGCCCACGGGGGGGGGGCCCTCTGCAGGTGCGAGGCCAACCGCGGGGGAGGGGCTGGGCCGCATGCCCTCCACGACCCCTCCGGGCGAGGTAGTGTTGGCCTCAGTGGGCTTGTGCCCCGGGTTGGGCGAGCGCACGCGTGGGGGCAGGCGAGGTCCCCTGGGATCCGGTATGGTGGTTGCTGTGAGCGCGCTGGGAAACTCACGTGGAAGGCCCGGGCACACGCGCACGCAAAGGGCCATTGTCCCGCCACACAAGGAAGGGAATGCTGGAGCTTGGGGCCACGTGGGTGGAGCTCGAGGACCGTGTGTTGGGTGAGATGAGCCGTGCGCAGCAAGACAGATGTCACGTGTTCTTCCTCCCGTGGGGGTGGGAGTGTTGATTTCGCAGAGGGTCCCAGAGACAGGTGGGAGGTGCTGTCTTGGCCACAGCACAGCGGGGTGCCTCTCCCAGTAGCTCAGCATTGGTTAGATGTTCCTTTTTTTTTTTTTTTTTTTTTTTGCCACACAGAGTTAGACAGAAAGAAAGGTCTTCCTTCTGTCGGTTCACTCCGCAAATGGCTGCTATGGCCAGCACTGTGCTGTGCTGATCCGAAGCCAGGAGCCAGGTGCTTCCTCCTGGTCTCTCCCATGCAGGTGCAGGGCCCAAGTACTTGAGCCATCCTCCACTGCCCTCCCGGGCCACAGCAGAGAGCTGGACTGCAAGAGGAGCAACCGGGACTAGAACCCGGGGCGCCGGTGCCGCAGGCGGAGGATTAGCCAAGTGAGCCAAGGCGCCGGCCCTAGTTGTTTCCTAAGGTGCTTGGAGTTCCCGCCCTGGGAATGCTGACTCCCCTGATTGGTCCCTGCTCACTGGGTGCTACCTGCTGGATTAGCCACCGCACCCCATAATACGTCCGCTTAAAGAAAAGGCATCAGAGAGAGGATTCACTGCCAGTGGTCAGCTTTGCGCGTCCTGCTCCGGAATCCACGCAGTACCCAAAGAAAACAGGCCTGGTTTGCAGTGCACGTTTTAGGGGGTCCTGAAAATAACGCGGGGTTCCCTGGGCGCACACCCAGGGGCTCAGCCTGACAGCGCAGCCTCTCACTCCCGGGAGAGAGGAGGGCTTGAGGGCAGGGTCCCTGGGGGCAGCGCTCCCTGCAGCAAATCTCCAGAAGGTGCCGTTCTGGGTGCTTTTGGAAATGCACCCGGCCCACCCTTCACGGCTCCAGGGACGTACTGTGTACACCCGGGCAGGGAGACCCTGACCGCCACGGTGCCGCAGACCCTCACAGGCCGCTTCGGCATCTGGGGACGGGTGCCTGCCGCAGAGCAGTTTCCATCCTGTTGTCGCCTTTTCACCTGCAAGGGAGCTCCAGGTGCGTGGCAGAGCGTCTGCGTGGGAAGCGCCGTCCATTCAGGTTTGCAGGATTTAAATCAGGAAGTGGGTGGAGGTGCAGTCGGGCTAGGGAGCAGGACTCAGGTAGGGGGCAGGGGTGGGGGCGGGGCGGGGCGACAGCAGATCCAGACCCTGGCCCTGGCGAGGGGCTCTGCCGGGTGAGGGCGACAGAGCTCAGATGCATTCCTGCCAGGCGGGGTCAGGCGGGCACCTCGGCGAGGCGGGCCCCAGGGTGGGTCTTCCAGGATTGGATCGGGTGGCCTTGGCCAAGAGCAGAGGGCGTGGGGTGATGTGTGGAAGGGGGTCACCGCGTGTGGAAGGGCGGTGTGGGCTCCCTCCTCCGAGACCAGGCGATGAGGTGGGCTCGCGAGAAGGGCCCTGTCGGCCTAGCGCTGGTCGCAATGCGGCAGGTCCGTTCTGGGGACTCGGGCGTTTGCGACGGAGAAACCCTGATGGACGCTTTCCCCAGCGCCCCGTGGAGAGATGTTCGAAGGCTTGGGTTACAGACGTGCAGGCTGAGGGCGGCACCCGTGTGTCAGCATTGTCTGCTTCCGTTTCTTCTATACACAGGCCCAGAGCGCCGGCCCGGGCCCCGGAGGACGGCGGGACCAGCGTGCTTTCTGCTGTGATGGGACTCACCGACTGCAGACCGCGGCGGCGCCAACCCCGCAGCCAGGTGACTGCAGGCCCTGAGGGGCGGTGCTGCCGCACGGGGCCTCCCGGCAGGCAGGAGGTCTGTAGAACGTGCAGGTGCCAGGTGGCCGCGGCCTAGTGCAGGTGCCAGGTGGCTGTGGCCTACGTGCAGGTGCCAGGTGGCCGCGGCCTGCGTGCAGGTGCCCGGTGGCCGCGGCCTAGTGCAGGTGCCAGGTGGCCGTGGCCTAGTGCAGGTGCCAGGTGGCCGCGGCCTACGTGCAGGTGCCAGGTGGCCGTGGCCTACGTGCAGGTGCCAGGTGGCCGCGGCCTGGCTTCCCGGGGTTCACCTTGGTGTTTGTTTCCTGCTCTCAGGCTACAATGTTCTGTGGCTGTGAGCTCACATTCTAGCGCAAACACTTCTGAATTTTTGATTTATATTTACGATTTGAAGGGCAGAGAGAGAAAGAGCTCCAGTCTGCTGGTTCGCTCCCCAGGTGCCTGTGCCAGCCAGGGCTGGGTCAGGAAAAAGCCCGGATCCCGGAACTCCCTCTGGTCCTGCCACGAGGGTGGGAGGGGCCCAAGCACGGAGTCATTGGCTGCCCCCAGGGTGCGTTAGCAGGAAGCTGGACAGGAAGCCGGGGCTGCAGTAGCGTCTTCCGTGCGAAGTGCTCACCCTTCGGCTCCCATTTTATAAGCGGTTCCAGGGCTTTGGGTGTAAGCGAGCGTCACTACAGAGGACGCCACTTCCCGCGGCCTGGCCGAGCTGTCTTCGTGTGGGGTCAGCTTCCTGTTGACTAAGGACTCGAAGCGTGGGTGCCAAGAGGGGGCACAGATGGTGGTGCCCCCTCTGTGGGTCTGAGACGGCCATGTTGGTGAGCCCTCCAGGGGCCACCTGTGGTCTGACCTGAGGGGGATCCTGCGTGCAGTGCGGGCCGTGGACAGCAGCGGGGGAGGGAGGTAGGGGCTGTGGACAGCAGCGAGGGAGGGAGGTGGGGGCCGCGGACAGCAGCGGGGGAGGGAGGTGGGGGCCGCGGACAGCAGCGGGGGAGGGAGGTGGGGGCCGCGGACAGCAGCGGGGGAGGGAGGTGGGGGCCGCGGACAGCAGCGGGGGAGGGAGGTGGGGGCCGCGGACAGCAGCGGGGGAGGGAGGTGGGGGCCGCGGACAGCAGCGGGGGAGGGAGGTGGGGGCCGCGGACAGCAGCGGGGGAGGGAGGTGGGGGCCGCGGACAGCAGCGGGGGAGGGAGGTGGGGGCCGCGGACAGCAGCGGGGGAGGGAGGTGGGGGCCGCGGACAGCAGCGGGGGAGGGAGGTGGGGGCCGCGGACAGCAGCGGGGGAGGGAGGTGGGGGGCCGCGGACAGCAGCGGGGGAGGGAGGTGGGGCCGCGGACAGCAGCGGGGGGGAGGTGGGGGCCGCGGACAGCAGCGGGGGAGGGAGACGGGGGCCGCGGACAGCAGCGGGGGAGGGAGACGGGGGCCGCGGACAGCAGCGGGGGAGCGAGGTGGGGGCCGTGGACAGCAGCGGGGGAGGGAGGCGGGGGCCGTGGACAGCAGCGGGGGAGGGAGGTGTGGGCCATGGACAGCAGCGGGGGTGTGCAGGGAGCTGAGGTCTGTGGAGGGTGTCATATCTGTGTCCTGAGTGTGGGGAAGGCGTCACGTGGGGGACGTGGTCAAAATGGCCCAGCATCCACGTGGCCTTCAGCTTCCTAGTCCTGAAAACCATATAATGAAGTTGATTTCTGGGCTCAGACAAATATCTTATTTTTTTTTTAAAGAGCAACCTTTTCATAATTACTTGTTCAATTCAGCTGTTTTTTTGTCTTCTTAAAAAAATTTTTTAATGTGGTAGATATTTTTTTCTGGGCAAATTCTTAGGATTTAATTGCACTTAAAAATCGTGGAGGCTGTCAGTCGATCACGGATAGAATTGTCTCAGCCGGTGAAGCTGGTCCTGTGCCTGTCACCACTGTCAGGCTGCTCAGATAAAGCTGGGGGAAGGGCAGCTTCCATGTGCAGCGTGAGCCGCACTTCAGGTCAGTATGCAGGAGGCCCGTCCGCTGCGGCAGGCCCCGAGTTAGCCGCTGTGGTGCTGCAGGAGTCGGACTTGGGTTTCCAGACGGTCCCAGGATTCGTCCCCCAGAAGCAAGGAGACGTGTCTGCCCACTGGTTTTCAGTGAAGATGGTGGCATCGAATCTGTAGAAAAACCGTTTTGAAAAGAGAGTTTTTGTAGCATGTTCAAGATGGTGGGGCGTCAACAGCATCACCAGTTTTGTACGAAACCACATCTGCCAAGCGGCTCGGCCAGTCTTGTTTGTTCCTGGGAGTAAGTGAGGCTTGCTGGGCGTGCGGCACGAGGAACCTCTGCTCTTGCCAGGGTGGGAGCAGCCGCGTGTCCATCTCTGGTGCAGTAGCCGTGGGTCTCTCTGGGGTGGGAGCAGCCGTGGGTCTCTCTGGGGTGGGAGCAGCCGCGTGTCCATCTCTGGTGCAGTAGCCGTGGGTCTCTCCGGGGTGGGAGCAGCCGTGGGTCTCTCTGGGGTGGGAGCAGCTGCGTGTCCATCTCTGGTGCAGTAGCCGTGGGTCTCTCCGGGGTGGGAGCAGCCGTGGGTCTTCCCGGGGTGGGAGCAGCCGCGTGTCCGTCTCTGGTGGAGCAGCCGTGGGTCTCTCCGGGGTGGGAGCAGCCGCGTGTCCATCTATGGTGCAGTAGCCGTGGGTCTCTCCGGGGTGGGAGCAGCCATGTGTCTGTCTCTGGTGGAGCAGCTGTGGGTCTCTCCGGGGTGGGAGCAGCCGCGTGTCCGTCTCTGGTGGAGCAGCCGTGGGTCTCTCCGGGGTGGGAGCAGCCGCGTGTCCATCTATGGTGCAGCAGCCGTGGGTCTCTCCGGGGTGGGAGCAGCCATGTGTCTGTCTCTGGTGGAGCAGCTGTGGGTCTCTCTGGGGTATGAGCAGCCGTGTGTCTGTCTCTGGTGGTGCAGCCATGGCTGTCTTTGGCCATGAAGAAAGGGACCGGCTTCAGGTGTGAAAATCTTTCATTTTCGCCCTTACTGACAGCTCCTCCTTGGCGCCTACACTCTCGGTACCTGAGCTCCCAGGGATGAATCTCTGTCTTGCTGGAAAGAGGGACAGGACAGGGAGGGATGCGCATCTCCCATGAGCATGCGCCTGTTGACTCCCGGCTCTGTGTTCTCCCTCCTGGAGGCCAGCCCGCTGTGGGCCAGTACTCAGCCTCGACGGAGTGATGCCTGATCCCTGAAGAGTGGGAGGGAGTGGGAGACTCTAAGTCACAGTGTGAAATAAATCCACAGGAAGAGCCACGTCAGATAAATTCTCCCTGACCGGTACGCCGAGTTAGCATTGGTGTGCTTATACGTCCCCATCACTGAGCGAGCCTTAGAAAGTATTCAGGCTGGTATTTCCTGTCCTTTTCACTACGAAGTCTCAGGGTGAGAGTGCCGGAGGATGGGGCCCAGGACCCCAGCCCATGGTGCGCCCCTGCCTGACGTCAGCGCTGCGGGATCTGCGTGGACCTTGCACATTCTTCCTGTTCCTCACTTACTGACGTGCGAGGCAGGAGAGAGGGAGAGCGCGTGCTCTCATTTGCTGGTTCACAGCCCAAACAGCGTGATGGCCTTGGCTGGGCTGGTGAGGCGATCCATCCTGGTCTCCCGTGTGGATGCCAGGAGCCAGATCGCTGAGCCAACATTGCTCCCTCCTGGGTTGTGCAGCATCGGCAGCATCGGCATCAGCAGGTGGCTGGAGCCAGGAATTGAGGCCAGGCCCTCTGTGCAGGCTGCGGGAGTCTTCCCGCTGGGCTCCGTGCCTGCCGTGGCTCCCACGCACCTTAGACCCTCGGACGACACGGAGCCCCCGCACATGGTGAGCGGTGTGCCGAGGCGCCGTGTGTGAGGCAGAGACGGGAGATGGGGTTGTCTGGGTGCGTGAGTTTGCACTGCTTGAGGTGCGTGTTGTGCGTGAGTTTGCACTGCTTCAGGTGCGTGTTGTGCGTGAGTTTGCACTGCTTCAGGTGTGTGTTTTCCTCGCGGTCCTTGAAGATCCCGGGACGTTTCCAAGGCGAGGTTGGGTGAATCCCAGAGGTGGAGGTGGAGACGCCCTGGAGAGCCTCCCGGGGAAGTGCGCCGTGGCGCAGTCACTAAGACGCTGTGGTCTCAGGTCTGTGTGGCTCCTTGGGTGGGCCTCAGACGAGAGGCCCCCCGGGGTCCATCATGGACTGCAGGGTGCTGGGGCGTCTGGGATGAAGGCCTGTGTGGGGAGGCCGCGTGGCTGGGGCAGTGTGGGAGGAGGACGTGCGTGGGGAGGCCACGTGGCTGGGGCAGTGTGGGAGGAAGGCCTGTGTGGGGAGGCCGCGTGGCTGGGGCAGTGTGGGAGGAGGGCCTGTGTGGGGAGGCCACGTGGCTGGGGCAGTGTGGGAGGAGGGCCTGTGTGGGGAGGCCGCGTGGCTGGGGCAGTGTGGGAGGAGGGCCTGTGTGGGGAGGCCGCGTGGCTGGGGCAGTGTGGGAGGAGGGCCTGTGTGGGGAGGCCACGTGGCTCGGGCAGTGTGGGAGGAGGACGTGTGTGGGGAGGCCGCGTGGCTCGGGCAGTGTGGGAGGAGGACGTGCGTGGGGAGGCCGTGTGGCTGGGGCAGTGTGGGAGGAGGGCCTGTGTGGGGAGGCCGCGTGGCTCGGGCAGTGTGGGAGGAGGACGTGCGTGGGGAGGCCGCGTGGCTGGGGCAGTGTGGGAGGAAGGCCTGTGTGGGGAGGCCGTGTGGCTGGGGCAGTGTGGGAGGAGGGCCTGTGTGGGGAGGCCGCGTGGCTCGGGCAGTGTGGGAGGAGGACGTGCGTGGGGAGGCCGCGTGGCTGGGGCAGTGTGGGAGGAAGGCCTGTGTGGGGAGGCCACGTGGCTGGGGCAGTGTGGGAGGAGGGCCTGTGTGGGGAGGCCGCGTGGCTCGGGCAGTGTGGGAGGAGGACGTGCGTGGGGAGGCCGCGTGGCTGGGGCAGTGTGGGAGGAGGGCCTGCGTGGGGAGGCCGCGTGGCTCGGGTGGTTTGCCTGCAGAGCGAGGACCCCGGGCTGTGCTGGCGCTGTGCTGTGGAGCGGGCTGTTCTCTGCGCCTGGTTTTGCCGCCTCCTCAGGATTCCCCTGGCAGCCCCAGGTCGGCCCAGAGTCCCTGAGCGCCAGGTAAGGCAGAAACCAAACCAGAATTGGGCGGTTGGGCATTTGCTTTGCCAGTGCGATGGTTTCCAAACGGCGCAGAGAGCGTGTCAGCTGCCGTCCGTTACATGACTGCACGTGCTCGTGTCCCAGTCCTGAAGAGCGAGCGTCACACCTCGTTGGCCATGGAAGCTACTAGGTTGTTAGTGTGATGTATGCTCGCTCGCTCGCTCGCTCGCTCTCACTCACACACACACACACACACACACACCCGTGTCCAGTTCTGCAAAGTTTGCAAGTAGCCCGTGTCTGCTCTGGGGCCGAGGAGGAGCCCAACACAAGGTGTGAACTCCGTGGACCATAAGCAGCACGGTCGGGGGAAGCCCCCTCTGTGTCCCTCTGCCCTCGGCCTGAGGCTGCGGAGCGCGGGCTGCTGTGAGGACAAGCTCAGGAAGTGGGACTCTCACACTGCTCCTCTGCGCCAAAGGCCTCTGAGGGTGTGGGAGAGGCTTCTGTCTCCTTCCTCTGGTGGGAGGGGCCTGGCCCGCTCCCATGTGCTCCGGCAGGTGGTGGTCTGGTCCCTGTGGCATGAGGCACAAGCTGGTGGGAGTGGGGAGACATGGCTGCATTTACCCGTGTGAGTGCGGAGCACAGCCGTGGCGTGGGGACCAGCGTGTCGTGTGCCCCACTGCCTTCCACGCGCACGTTTTGCTGACTACAGCAGTTTTCAGGTTTTTCTCACCTTGTGTTCACTTTTGTGTTAAAGAGAAGACAAAGCCAAAGTATGCCACCAGGTGTTCCCACAGCCGCCTCCCCCAGCCTCTCTCCAGTCCCGGCCTCGCTGGAGAAGATTCCTGTCCCAGTTCACTGTGGGTGGCGGAGCTGGGTCTCACCGTTAGGGTTAGGGTTAGGGTTAGGGTTAGGGTTAGGGTTGGGTTAGGGTTAGGGCAGGCCAGGCGCTGAAGTGTGTTGTTATAAAACGTGTTGTTGTAAGAACCCCCAGAGCCCTGGGTGCTTCCCGCCCCCCAGGTGGCAGAGGCTTGTGGGCTTCTTCAGTTTCTCCTGACAGCTGCTTGTATGACAGCCCATGGAGCAGCAGGCACGGCGGATGTCAGGACTGTCGGCAGATTTCACAGCAGCACCCCAACTTGCAGTAGGCAGCCTGTCGGAACGGTGGGGTTCAGAGATGTTCTCCTGTGTGCACGGCTGTCTGGGGATGCTCCCGGATTGACCCTGGATTGACTCTGCCCTGCACAGCTTTAAGGGGGCACTAATGTTGCAAGCACGGACCCCGCCCTCACTCCCGCCCCGCCCCTGCCGTGAACGAGTCGTGGGGGGGGGGGTAGAGCCCAGTTTTGTTCTTCAGAATCCCTCCTGCTTCCTGAGCACCTCTCCTGTGCCAGTTGCTGGGGTCAGAGGGAGACCCCGTCCCCGCAGGAGGCCGTGCGGAGCGGGTGGAGGGACGAGTGCGGAGGGCAGGGGCTCTGCTGGAGGTGCGGGAGGGGAGGCTTCCGGGTCCTCCTCTTCTCAGAGCAGCAGCAGCTTCGGCAGGAACACGTCAAACCCCAACTTGGGGAATACTGGCAAAAGATAGTAACACTTAATGAAATATCGATTGAGGGCTGCACGCGATCGAATCTGGAACAGGTCCCGAGGGCTTCGTTACCCAGTCGCAACCAAGAGCAGCCAGCAGCCGTCTGAGCGAGCAACTGCACACCAGGTCTCCGGCATCTGTGTGTTGCAACACACTTGATTTATTGCGTAAGTGAGGTCACAGATGATCAAATGTGCCCGACAGGAACCCCCGTGCCCCGTCCGTCTCCCGAGAACATGTGGGTGGAGGAGGCAGCTGCTGGGCTCCTGTTTTGCTGGGATCCAGATGTGCTTGTCCTCATTTCCAGGGGAAAAAGAGTAACCCAGCTCTCGTTCGCCCACTGGAGTCTGTGGCACAGCTCCTGGTGCCAACACTTAGATGCCAGCCAGGGCTAGCGGGTGCACGTGAGAAAAGAGGACTCGATGCCCAGGGACAAAAGAGGAGCAATTCCTAACTCCTGCCAGGCCCTCGCCTCCCGCGGTGCTGCCGTGGCATGGGTGGCTGTGGTCTCACCCGCCCTGTGCTCCCCCCAGTCTCGGATGCCGCAGGTGCTCAGAAACCTGTGCAGATCTGGCCGCGCCGTGGCTGGCAGCGATGCGTCCGGAGTGGAGAGAGGGGCCTTTGGGACGTGGCCTGAAGTGCGTGGGTGAGCCCTGGGCAGACTGTGGGGCGCGGATGGTGCAGGCTTCTTCTAGCCTGTCCCTGGGCTCTCAAGTAACCCAAGAGGAGTAAGGGAGACCCCCGGGGGGGGAGTTGCTGGGGGCGCAGGGCGGAGCCGCAGATGGGAGAGCCTTGCAGCGCTGGAGACGCTCAGTAGTGCCGGAGCCTGCGGTGTGCGGACGCCTCGGGGCGTCCGGGCAGCCGTAGTGTTTCAGAGGCGGTCCTTTGAGAATTAATTTGGAGGGCGATGGATCCCTTCCACCATCCCCCACCCGGCTTTTTTTAAAACAGGATAGTTCCCCATAACGAACCATTTCAGCCGGACGAAAGAATGTGTTTGGCACATACTTGCTTCAAACCCAAAGGGAAAAACAAACCCGCAAAGTTCCCTTCAGGCTGTCAGCCCCAGACTGCAGGATTCAGTTTCAAAACTCTTAGTTTTAAGGAGGTGGCAGAATTACATAATTATTCACAACTCTTAAGAAATTTAAAAACACCTCTGCCAAATATGAAGTTGTGAGATAACACAAACCACAAATTCTAGACTTGCGGAGGGCGGGCGCATCTCTTGCTCTCCCACACAGAAGCCCACAGCGAGAGTCTGGGCTGCAGCACGTGGCCCGGCGAGAGGCCGGTGGCTGCTCCTTGTGGACCTGCCTGAAGGAGCCTGGGGTGTGGGGACCTGGAAGGGTAGCCCCTGCCAAACAGTGGTCCCCGCCTGGGCAGCAGAGCCCCCAGGCACCTCCCAACCCCCACAGCAACTCTGCAGAAGGCAAGGAAGCAACCAGAAAGTCCCCAAATGGAGGTGAGGAGAGGAATTTGGGGCGGGGAAGCAGTCACAGGTGCCCAAGGCATCCCATCCTGGGTGGGGGTCCCTGTGAGCCCTGTCTGTTGGCGTGTGGCTTTCAGAACCACAGCATTTGTTAACCACACTCATTTCTGTTTTTTACTTTTTCAAAGGTCTGTTTATTTGAAAAGGTGAGAGTCAGTCTCAGTCTCTCTCTCTCTCTCTCTCTCTCTCTCTCTCTCTCACACACACACACACACACACACACACAGGTATTGTCCATGCACTCACTCATCCCCTAAATGCTTGTAACAGTTGGGGCTGGGCGAGGCCGAAGCCAGGAGCCAGGTTCTCCAATCAGACCTTGCATGTGGTGGCAGGGGAAGAGGCACTTGGCCCCTCATCAGCTGCCTCCGGGCACATGAGCAGGGAGCTGGGTTGGAAGCGTGGAGGAGCTGGGACTTGAGCCAGCTACTGCAGTGTGGGATGCAGGTGTCCCACATGGTGGCTCACCCCGTTGGGCCACCAAGGCCCATTTTTAGAAGTGAGTTTTGCCGGTTAGAAACCCAGGAACTGCTTTTCTCTGTGGAGTGAGCATCTTGCATTCAGCCCCGTGCCACTCTGCGAGGCCCTGGGCTTCCAACGCTGGCAGGTGTGGCTCCTGCCTGCAAGGGCCTTACCACATGGGGGGACAGCAGGTGGGTGGGCACCCAGATGTGGGACAGGAGCAGTGGGTGGGGGATGGCAGGGGAGGCTGAGCAGGGCTGAGGAGTGGCAGCTGGGCCAGGTCTGTGGGGAGCCTCCATGGGGAGGCCGGAGAGCGAGGATGCCTTTGCATGCGGCACTGACACGTTGGGACTGGCGTGGGGACCTGCGGTTGGGCGTAGCCAGTGACAGGCACTGTTGGAGGGCACTGCAGGGCAGACAGGCCCCTTGGCGACCTGCACGGGGGAGGTGTGAGGGCCCCAAGGGATGAGGTGGCGAGAAACGCTGAGGATGTGGCCCCTCAGCAGAGCCCGGGGGAGGCACAAGCACCCGGGTGTCCTCAGGCTGGGAGCCCTGGGCCTCTCAGAGCCGATCGGGCAGGGGCCCCGCAGTGAGCACAGTCACCCGTGGCAGTGCGATAAGACGGGGACCTGGGGGGAGGGTATCTGTGTGGCCGAGTGGGGGATGAGGAGGAGCCCTGATGACCCACATCCTGGGCTGGTCCCAGGAGCCAGGCAAGGAATGGCATTACCGTGGGGGAAGCACCCATCAGCAGGGCCACCGCGAGGCTGGCCTGAGTCTGGTGGTCAGCCGTGTGGGTGGCTGCAGTCACCGCACAGAGTGAGGGCTGCACCGTCCAGGGTCTTCTCGGTCCAGAGGGCCTGGTAGCCACTGCCGGAGCCATCGGGGCAGGGAGGCCTCCCTGGGTGGCAGAGGGCCGAGAAGGGTGGGGGAGCGGGTCAGGGTCCACCCACGCACCTGGTGCGAAGTGAGGACCCAGTCGTGCACTGCCCTGTGCTCGCATAGGCCTCTGTGACATGGTTTCGCCAATGTTATCCTAATTTTTATCAAAGCTCGAGCCAGGAAGCCAGCTTCCACACTCACTGAGGAGGAGCTGGGGCTCTGCCTGGGTCTCTCGCGTTTGTTTCCCACTTCCTGGCTTCCGGGGAGCCCCTGTGTGTGGTGTTTGAGCTGCCATTACCTGCCCAACACAGCAACCACGAGGAGCACCTCCCCCTGTGTTCTGCGGGAGCCGCGGCAGGTGGCGGCTGAGCGACCCCTGGCCTCTGGTGCTCCCAGCCCGGTTTCTGTGCCTGACTGGCTGGAGAGAGGGTACGAGCCAGTTCTGTGGGACCCTCTGTGAGCAGACGAGAGAGACGCGGTGGTTACTGCACCAGCCCGCTGCCTGTGGAGGATGAGCCAGGTGCCGCAGGAGCTCGGCTGTGAAGGGGTTACGACGACAAATAAATGACTTTATTTAGATTTGAGCATTTCTGGCATTTTTTCTAGATTTTTTTTTTTTTGCCACAGTATTTGATGTGACAGCTTTTGTTTGCTCACACTTGTCTCGCTTAAAAAATTCTCGTATCAGCAGTAAAAGCTATTTCTTTTTCCTGTAACATCTTGAGCTTGGTATCCAATGATGGGAGAAATCGCTGTTGCATTACTTGAAATTATAATATTATGTTCGACTTGGGGGGATTAAAACAGCTTGGATGTCAGGAGTGGAGGCCGAGTAGTCGCCCATGGGTGTTCTCACTGCAGGCCAGGTGTGGTAGAAACACGATCGTGGGGCCCACCGGGACGAGGGAAGCCTGGGCATCGTCCACGTCGGAGGTGATGGGCTGGCCGTGACGGGCTGCAGCCATTTGGGTGGCAGGCGGCCCAGACTGGGGAGAGGGCCAGGGTGCGTCCTGACTGAGCGACCGTCACCGTCCACACCACTGTCCCCTTCAGTGCCATTCTGAGTGCACCTGTGCTGCAGAGTGGGCGTGGGTGGCAGGTTGTCAGAGGAGCCTGTCTTTCCTGCCCTCTGGGAGGTCTTTGATGGACAGAGAGGGAGGCCTCCGTGCCCCGACGGCCCTGACGCGGCTACCAGGATGGAGAGAGGGAGGCCTCCGTGCCCCGACGGCCCTGATGCGGCTACCAGGATGGACAGAGAGGGAGGCCTCCGTGCCCCGACGGCCCTGACGCAGCTACCAGGATGGACAGAGAGGGAGGCCTCCGTGCCCCGACGGCCCTGACGCGGCTACCAGGATGGAGAGAGGGAGGCCTCCGTGCCCCGACGGCCCTGATGCGGCTACCAGGATGGACAGAGAGGGAGGCCTCCGTGCCCCGACGGCCCTGACGCAGCTACCAGGATGGAC